CTTCCTGGGTCGTTCCCTAACTGGCCAAAGCGGGGAACCCACGGCCCTCGCCCCCGGGGGGAACAACCTAAAGGCTTCTGCCACGTTAGCGGGGCAAATTCGGTGGAGGTTTTTCACCCTCCTTGGAGGGGGGCACCGGAACCGCGCATTGGGAGGGCCTCTGGCCTTGCTCTTTTCCCTGTGAACCCACTGGTGGGGTTTGCCACATAAAATGGAGGAACAAGGTGTTTCCCAGGACACAATAACTGGCCAACAAGGTTGGTTTTTTTCCAACTGCGGGCCCCCCCCCTGTTCAAACGGGGGAGGCGGAGGTGGAAACCACCCAAACTGTTACCACCGGGGATGAGTGAAGCGAAAAACCGGCGTATTCCAAAAATGCACGATTTGGACCACCTTTTTTCCCGGCCACAGTGAGGAGCGGATAGTCTGGCCCTGCCAACGTTGGTCAAAACCCCTGACGGCCACCCGTGGGCATTGAGGGGCCGCCCGGTCCCACAAAAAAAGGCCAACGCAAACCAAAACCGCAACGGATCCCACCCACGTTTGTTTTGGCGTTGGTTCTGAAGCGCGGAAATCCCAAAAAAAGACCCTGCAAGAAAAACGTCAGTCGTTTGCTTGACAGGCAACGATAACAGGGCGGGAGCTCCAGGGTGTGCGGTTTCTTTGTGACATGACGAAAATATTCCAGACCTGACCGGGGCAGAAGAATGTGTAAAAACCAACCAAATTTTACCTTTAAAAAGGATTAAATTTTGTTGGCATTGTGGAATTTGATGTTATCTCAGTAAAACTGTTTTTAAAAAAATAAAATAAAAGGCCGGGGTGTGGTGGTTCACGGCCTGTGAATCCTGGCCCACTTCTGGGAAGGCCTGGAGGCGGGGCAGATTGCTTTTGAGGTCCAAAAGGGATTCCGAAAAAACCAGCCTGAGCAAGAGTTGAGACCGCCCGTCTCTACTATAAAAGAAAGAAATTAAATTGGCCACGTAATATATATAAAAAAGAAATTAGCCATTGGGCATGCTAGTCCAGTACCGACTGAGCAATTTGTAGCCCAGAGTTGGAGTTGCTGTGACTAGGCTGACGCACACACTCACTCTAGCTGGGCAACAAAGCGAGACTCTGTCTCAAAATTAAATAAATAAAAGATTTTTTCGAAGGTTACTTTAACGACAGCTTGGAGCGAAGACAGGGGGCCTCCTCTCGCCCAAATCCTGGACCTCAGCTCTTTTATTCAAAGAAACGAAATGTCACAGATGCAGTCGAGGCTCCCCCCTACTGGAGCCCCTTCTCTCTCTCCCCAGAGGCAGCTGCACCCCAGAGTTCTGACAGCCTTCCGCCGGGGAGGGGAACACATCTCGCGTGGCGCGGGCACAGAACGGGACCCTCTGGGGCCTGGGGATGAGCCAGGGCGTCACGGATTCGGAGGAATGCCGCGAGGGAGAGTGAGCCGCCAGTGACTTGCTCATGCAAAGCCAATGCATGTAAACAGAGCCGTGCGGTCTGGGCGGACACACGTGGCTTAAAGCATAAACGGAAGACCCGGTCATGCTTCCGCCCCACGCCTCTCCTCCGGCCCGTGGCCCTGACTCACTGGCCGGCCTGACACCTGGGGGCTCCTTCCCCCGTGCAACGACGGGACACGTCGGATTATTTTCTGATGCTTCAGTGGTGAGTGAGGCCAACACCACGTGGGAGCTGGCCACAGCTTACAGGAATGGATAAACAAACGGCTACCGCCACACAGTGGGATATTACTCAGTGCTAAAGAGAAATGTGTTTTCCAGCCGTGAAAAGACCTGGAACAACCTTAAATGCTCATTCCTAAGGGAAAGAGGGCTACATACTCCGGGATTCTGACTCTAGGACATTCTGCAAAGGGCAAAACTGGGGAGGCAGTAAGAAGATCTTCGCTAGCCAAGGCCAGCGGGAGAAACAGGAGCACAAGAGAGCTGAGGGCAGTGGGACTGTTCTAGATGACACTATAGCGGTGGGTATACAACACTGTGCGTCTGTCAAAGCCCACAGAGCTGGGCAACAGAAAGAGCGAATTCGAATGCAGACTGAGCGATTTAGTTAGCAGCAATATCTTCAACTGGTTCTTCAGGTGTAATGAACTTGCCACGAGCTCTAATTCCAGATGTTGCTGGGTGCAGGGAGGGGTATGTGGAACTCCCTGCACTATCTGTTCAATCTTCCATAAACCTAAAACTACTCTAAAAAACAAAGTCTAATAATTATTTTAAAGGAACTGAAGTTGAATACACTTCCACAATTAAAAATAAAACTGCCACCGTGACGTGGTAGAGAGTAAGGTAGACGTTTCATGCCCGGTTTGTGGATGACTTTAGAGATTTTTTTTTTCCTTCCAACTATCTGCATTCAACTGTCAACTAGGAAGAGATGGTAGTTGGCCATACAGAGAGCTGGAAATGGTCTCAAGCAGTTCTTTTTTTTTTCTTTTTTTGGTAGGTATTAGGAATGTTTTTCAGGCTTTATCAAGGTAACGTTGACAAATAAAAATGGTGCATGTTCAGGTGGCTTGATACATGTCTATCGTGAGCTGCCCACCACAATCAAGCTAATTAACATATCCATCGCCTCACATACTTACTGTTTTCTTTTTGGCAGATTTTCTCTTTGTTGGTGGTGAGAATACTTAAGAACTACCCTCTTGGCAGAGTTCAAGAACACAGGACAGTATTATTAACTAGAGTCAGTTCTTTTGTTTCTCTTTTGAGATTTTGAGAAAGACACAGAAAAGATAGCAATAGAAGTTGAAAGTGCACTGGTGTTAAAATACACACACACACACACACACACACACACGCCCTTGGAAAGAAAGTTCGGCACACGTTCTTGAATGTTTTCTATGGGATGAGTAACATTCTTTATAATTTCCATTGTACGAGGCGGACAAATTAAAAGGCACACCACATGCCTGTTCTGGTTTAATATGTAAAAGAAAACACACACAATGTCGTTGCTCTTCTGTTTCGTTCTATATGAATGATCAATGTGGAAATTGGATAAAACCAAATTGAGGGAGGTCTATCCAATTACAGATTCGCAAACCCTCTGAGCCAGCAATTTTACTGCTGGGAGCATTTCCTACTGAGCGCTCACAGGCTTGGAGCGTTGCATCTTGCAGCCAAAGGTGGAGAGATCCCACATGTCTTCCAGGAAGGGCCTGGCACAGTAACTGTGCTCCAATGGGCAAAGGAAGAGGAGCCCATGTCACCATAGAAACGACTTTCAGGATGCTATCCAGTGCTGAAGATCAGCTGGATAGTAGGGGAGGGGAGGGGAGGAAAGAGAACCCCAAGGAGCTGGGAGTGCACTTGACGGGAGGAGAGGAGAGGAGAGCAGGGATTTCTGGTGATTCCTCGGACTCTACAACCCTGAAATTTCTATTTAAAAAGAAACAGTTCTAGTGTAAACATGTCAGAGTGTGCTTATCACGAACCAAAACGTGAACCCACGTACCACTCCCAGTGCTGCGTCCCCAGGCTTGGAACGTGTTGTCATGGTTGCAAGACAAGTTCTAGGGAAGAAGGAGAGGAGGCGAGAGGCAGCCCTGCGCCAGCCGCAGGGCCGAGTCAAGCCCGCGTGCACGTGGAGCTCTGGGGCCAGCAGTTCTCAGCAAAGCTCCCATGTGCGGGCAGCGTTCGCCCTGCTAGAGCCACTTCACCTCCCTTGCAATCGCCTTCAAACATTGATTGAAAATGGAAATAGAAACCAAACCCGCAATGAGGTGTCACCTCCTACCTGTTAGAATGGCTGTGACGGAAGAGACAAAGGTGACAGGTGTTGGTGATGTGGAGAAAGGGCAGCCCTGGCACGCGGTTCGGGGAAATGCAAACGGGTGCAGCCTCTATGGACAACAGTGTGCAGGTTCCCCCAAATTACAAATAGAACCACCGTGTCATCCAGCTTCCCACGCCTGCCTGTGTCCAGAGGAAGGCACGCGCCAGAGACGCCTGCACCGCGTGCACGGCAGCGCCGACCCCAGCAGCTGAGACTCGGCGCCAGCCTCAGCGTCCGCCAGCGGGTGAGCAGACAAACTGTGGTGTGCACACACACACAATGCAACACCAGTCGGCCTTGAGGAAAGAAGGAAGTCCTGCCATTTGCGACAACAAGGATGAACGTGGAAGACGCTGCACCACCTGAAATGAGCCACGTGAAATGAGCCACGTGAAATGAGCCACGTGAAATGAGCCACGTGAAATGAGCCACGTGAAATGGGCACAGACAGACACTCACTCACGTGCGGAGTGTGAAAAAGCCAAACTCTCGGAAACCAGACGGCAGGGTGGGTGGGCATCCCCGAGGTGGGGTGGGGGAACTGAGATGCTAGTCAAAGGGCACGAAACTTCAGTGACACAAGAGGAATGCGTTCAAGAGATCCATGACGTCACAGCGACCACAGCGAACGACAATATGTCGTATACTGGGAAACTGCCGGGAGAGCAGAGTTCAAGTGTTTTCACCACGAAATAAGACGTGCGAGTACGTGGGGTGACGCGTATGTCGAATAGCTGACGTAGCATCCCACCAGCGGACACACCAAAGCACCCTGTAGCGCACCGTAGATGTATACAGCGTTTACTGGTCAGTTAAAATAAACAAATAAACCATGGAAGCAAACAGAAGCCACCCCGCCCCGTGGCAGCAGATGTGGCTTTAAAGGCAGCTTGTCTGGGGGGTGACACAGTGCGTCCCCCGCTTTCTACGTTAAACCGTTCGCTGGTCTCACTCAGCTGATGTCCGGCGGCGGCAGCTGGGGCCCACCGGCTGGCCCCCACCTGCCACATGGCGCCAGGAGCACAGCCTCTCTGGGCCCGGGGCTCAGCCTCGAGGCGGGCTTCAGTGACGTGGCGTGTCCACGTGCCGTGGCCTGGCCACCCCCCAGCCCTCCATACCCGGCCGCTGCAGGCACGGTGGCCACGAGGAGACCCCCACCCCGGGTGGAGCGGTCTGCTCCCAAGGGGGCCACTCACCGCACCGGGTCTCGTCCTCGCCGCCGGGGCAGTGGGACACGCCGTCGCACCAGAGGTCCGGGCTCACGCACATGCCCGAGGAGCCGCACTCCACCTGCGAGCCCACGCACCTGCTCGCCACTGCAGAGGGGAGGGGGTGCCCGTCAGGCTGGAGCCCGCCCACGCCACCCCACCCTGCTCCGGCCCCGAGAAGGAGACCCAATCGCTCCCCCTGGCTTTGAACGAGGAGGAGATGTGCCCCTGCCACCAGCATCCACGCGTGGACTCAGCGCTGGGCTACTCTGCTTCCACGAGGCCGGTGGGAAGGACCCGCTCCGTGTCTGGGTTTGGACAGCACTCACAGGTCCTCTCTGCCACACAGAGGTGACTTCAGGGACGCACAAATGGGCAGGGAGTCTGCACCGCCCCGGGCTGATCAGAAGGGCACGGGCTTCGGTCACAGGAGGTGGCAGGGGAGGGGCACGCCTGGCCCCAGCAGCCATGAGACACAGGTGGCCAGGCGTGGCCCCAAGGTAGGGGAACCTGTGCGCACAGTGCCTGGTGGCACCTGGCACCCCAAGTGCTGGGCAAATTCTAAGTCCTTCTCCTGCGGTGTGTCAATACCACCGAAATAGCTCGGGACTGCAGCAGCCCACAGATTAGGAGGGAGCAGGAGAGCGGCAAGAGCAACCCGGACGGCGGGCGGGCGGCTGCCAAGAGCATTACTCATGCGGCGCCAAGACTGAACAAAGAGGAGGAAGAGGACAGCCTTGTTCTGCGGTAGAGAGACTGCAGGGAGGGCCCCGAAGGCCTCCCCGGCCCACACAGCCCACGCCGGGACTGCAGGAGCCACGGCCCTGATTGGGGCCGGCCCCGGCACTTACTGAACTTCCAGACCAGGCCGGCGGCCAGCGCGCCTCCCACGAGGACGGCCCCCAGGGCCAGGGCGATGCACAGCCCTTTCTTAGTCTCTGGAAGAAAAGGAGACACGGCATTCCGTCACACTCAGTCATAAGTCACACTCTCAAATTCCATGCACTGCTTTTATAGTGTGCCACATTAACAAATAATTATTTCATAGGCACTTAAAAATGTGGCTTTGATTTTAAAAACACATCCCAAGAGGTTTTACGTGTTCCCTGACACTAAACTTTATGCTTTTTAGAAAACAGAAGCAGAAAGCCATGATCTGAAGCAAAGAACCCCAAAGTTAAGCTCTTTAAAAAAGCACAGCATGCTAAAGAGTCTCAAAATAGGCAGATGATTAATGTGAAAAATGGGCAAAAAGAGGAAAAGTACTTCATTTTGGTAATTACAAATAGAAGCAAAATAATAATAATGTCCCCCCAAATTATCATCGCCCTGCCAGTGGCACTCAAGGCAGAAGAATAAATGGTCTTACTCAAGGGTGTTTAACAATCCACACTGTCCCGTTGGGACAGCCACTAGCCACACGCGGCTGTTTGCACTTTAATTAACGTTAGATGGAACTAAATGAAATTATGCAAATTCAAGTGCTCAAGTAGTCAGCAGCTACCCTATGAGATAGCTCTAGAACCTTCCGATCGAGATAGCTCTAGAACCTTCCGATCTCTGTCGTAAGCTCTACCCAACACACTAGCAGAGGCCCTTCGGTCTGAAGGCAGAGACACCGGACCCAGAGTGTAGGCACATTTCAGCTGAAAACAAAGGAAGGCGGAAAGGCCACCAAGTTTCTCTAGTCAAAACAGACACAGAATTGTTGGGCCAAAGGGTGTATGCCAAAAGTTGCATCAAGGTTCAGAAGACAGTGCCAGACGCCGCCGCCCTCCTTGGAAGGAAGGTGGCCAGGTGGAGGGGGGAGAGAGAGGGGAGAAAGCACTTAAACAGACCCTCCAAGGCCGCAGAGGTGGCACGACCGCCCGGTGCCGCCCACCTGTGCACACCTGTGCTTCTGGAAGTCAGCCAGGGTGAGAATCTCAGCTTCCGGACTTGGAGCGACCAGAGCTGACCCCCTGCTGAGGGCTCACAGCCCTGCCTCGCACTTTGTTACCACACTCTGACCATTCTACGATCCTTCTCCAACTGCAGCAGGCTTAAGAATTACCTGGGGAACCTGGTTCCCATCCCCAGACATTCCGAGTCAGCATTCAGAGGGCCGGGCATGGCTTTGCATTTCTAACAGGCTCCCAGGTGAGGCCGCTGGTCTGAGAATTGCCCAAGCACTGGATTTCATCACAGCCCGGCTACCGTGACTGTGCCTTAAGGTGGCAGGCGGGAGCCAGCGCAGTTCACGGGAGAAATTCCAAATGGCCTCTTTGACCCATTACCAAGGTCATTTTCTTCCATAGGTGACTTCCCTGCCGTGCCACTTTATCTAAGATGAGATAACTTGCCTGTGGAGTTAAGGATGGTTAAATCAGGCATCCTTAATTTCACACCAAGTGTGTGGCAGCCTGCCCGGCTCTCATGAGCAGCGGGGAAGCCCCCAGGGTTACTCTTGGGGGGACAGGCATTTTGCAGTCAGTGCGTGGCCAGTACAGACTTCATTTGGCCCCGGTTTGCCGCGGTGCCACTGCGGAGTTTAATTACAACTTACTATTCATTTGCCTTAACCATTCTCCATTTAGTCTGCTGTTGACTCGGCCCTACAGTGCTTTCTGCCACAAGCCTGAATTAAAACCTAGGAGGGGGACCAAGGGAGGGGACACAGGAGAGACAGGACACAAATGAAATGGCAAAGAAAAGCGAGATGAATGAGGGCGAGAAGAGACGGGGTAGAAGAGACAGCAAAGGCCATTCCACATTCAGCAACCCCCCAACCCCGCTCGGGCTGTCCAGAGGACTGTGAAGCCTGGTGAGATGTCACGGATACACGTCTGTGCTACAACCACACCGGCCACGTCATGCATGGAACACAAAATAACACGCAGCATCTAAACGTGCATGACCCGCTGCGTCCAGGGGACGGCACGCCAAGAAAGGCAGGGCGGTTGGTGTCTGCCCTGGGGAGCTTACCGCTTACTCAGGAGGAGACATCACAAGGCACACGGGCAGTAAACGACAGAGAGAGGCCCGTGTGCAAAGCCCACGCCGAGGGACACAGGCAGAGGAGAGTCAACAGGACGTGGAGGTCTTGCAGAGCGGAGGCCCCGGGAGACCTGGCGGCGGCGACAGCTCGGCCCCAGCGGGAAGAGAGGGAAGAAAAGCCGTGTGGAGACAGGCGGCTCCAGCAGACAGAGGGACAGGGTCAGACCAGGACAGCCCGTGACAGAGGCGGTGGGAGCAGAGAGCCCACGCAGACAGACCAGGCGGTCGGGGCCGTGGCAGGAAACAAACACAGAGCAAACACAAAGCGGGTCCTACTTGAGGAGCACGCAGCTCCCGTCGGGGATTTGGGCCGCGTGCGGATGGTGGGAGTCGAGTCGTTGGTCAGGACCCTCGGGGCGTACTGGGGAACCGGGGACGGGTAGTACTGAGCCGCATGCGCAGGGTAGACACCGGGAGCCCCGGCGGGCTGGCGGGTGTAGAAGTTTTCCGGTTGGTAGCCATGGTTTTCGTAGTAAGGTCCAGCACCTGGCGGTGACCTCTAAACAATGCAAAAGAAGAGGAATCACGTGAAACTCTTGCTTACCCTAAAGGGTTAAACACACAACCTCACACGACAGTCCCACAAGATGTTGCTGCGGGACTACACATTCTTCTGGGGGGGCACCTATAATTATGTCAAATGTTGGATTTATCTAGAACAAAAACTAACCAGAATTTTCCATTGTAATTGTTCCGATTTATTTTCTACTATCTATTCTTTGACATGAAAAAAAAAAGTGGCAGGGATTGGGATTTCATAAAAAATAAACAATAATAATAAAAAAAAATTTTTTGGAGTTTTGGGTTTGGACCCACCCAGGCCATTTTCTTGCCCTTTTATTTCCCGGGGGCTTTTTTTTGGGATTGGGGTTCCAAATTTCGGGCTTGGGGTTGTTGGATTTTTAAGGGGATTACCACTTGTTACGTTTTGGGACCCCTGTTGTTGGGGGGCTTTTTTGTTCCCATTTTTTTTGGCCCTTGTTTTTGGCCCCCCCTAAGACTGGTACAGGTACCATCAAGGCACTCACTTTGCAGAAAAGAACCTGAGCTAAGGCCAGGTGCGGTGGCTCACGCTTGTAATCCTAGCACTTTGGGAGGCCAAGTCGGGAGGATTGCTTGAGCTCAGGAGTTCCAAGGCCAGCTCTGAGCAAGAGCGAGACCCCGTCTCTACTATAAATAGAAAGAAATTAGCCAAACAACTAAAAATAGAAAAAATTAGCCGGGCGCGGTGGCATGTGGCTGTAGTCCCAGCTACTTGGAGGGTGAAGTAGGAGGATCACTTGAGCCCAGGAGTTTGAGGTTGCTGTGAGCTAGGCTGACGCCACGGCACTCACTCTAGCCTGGGCAATTGAATGAGACTCTGTCTCAAAAAAAAAAAGAAAAAAAAAAAATCTGAGCTAAGAAATGTGCCTAAAGGCATATGTGATCTCCATGTGATTCTGCAAATTCCCTTCCTATGTCTTCTTCTCTTACAGCAGACGTATGGTCACTTACCATCTCTTCTTTTTTTTTGATACAGAATCTCACTTTGTTGCCCAGGCTAGAGTGAGTGCCGTGGCGTCAGCCTAGCTCACAGCAACCTCAAACTCCTGGGCTCAAGCGATCCTCCTGCCTAGTAGCTGGGACTACAGACATGCGCCACCATGCCCGGCTAATTTTTTCTATATATATTAGTTGGCCGATTAATTTCTTTCTATTTATAGTAGAGAAGGGGTCCTGCTCTTGCTCAGGCTGGTTTCGAACTCCTGAGCTCAAGCAATCCGCCCTCCTCGGCCTCCCAGAGTGCTAGGATTACAGGCGTGAGCCACCGCACCCAGCCTACTTGCCATCTCTTCTTGACGGCCATCTCAGTGTGCACAGTGCGGGCTCTGGCCGTCCTGCTGCAGTGCATGCCCTGCACGGCACGGGCAAGCTTGTGGGAAGGGCGTGGGCGCCCGCAGCCACAGCCCTCTAAGGGGAGTCTCTGGGTCAGAGTGTGTGCACACATGAAAATGTGACAGCAGCTGCCCAGTGTGGCATTTTATCCTCAGCTCCGTCTTTGGGCTGGTGCCTGTCTTCTTAGAATGCCTTTCTCCCCTCCTCTCCCCTCCCTCGGCCTACTTGCAAATTGCCCTCCCAAGGCTCGCCCTCTCAAGACCCATCCCCCTGCAGGACACGGGACCCTATAGCCCTGTCTTCCCCTTCTTTCAAGGGGTCCTCAATTGCCCCTTGTCTCGCCCCTCTGGGAGGCCACATTTGCCCTCTTATCTGTGTCCAAAGGTCCCCATGCAAAACTTTTTCCCACTCACTAATTTCTGCCTCTCATCTCTTGCTGAGCTCAGAGACCACAGCGGGGTTGTCTGAGGTTGTTCTCGGAGGGCGGGCATTCTGGCCACTGACTCCTCAGAAGTTTAAACAGGGCTTCCAGGGAAGCGTGATTATAAAAGGAACAACCAAACGCAGGCTCCAGCGCTAACCTCGGCTCAGTAACTCACTCGTGCCGGCCTTCAAAAGTCCGCAGACTGTAACTCTAAACCGGGGCAGCGGGCACAGGGAAGTGGAACGCAATCTCTGATCTAAATGAGGCTACCAGGGGCACCACAGTCGGCATGTGCTGGCCTCAATCTCAGCCATCTAAGAACACGCCGTCCCTCCCACCGGTATGTCCCCGAGAGTCCTGTGCAATGGATTTAAAATTAAAGACAGATCCGGGAAAAAATAATAAATATCAGTAACAAATAAAGGGAAAAACAAAGGTCTATTTTCCGGACATAGAATCTAGGAAAATTTTCAAACTCTTTGCTAAACGCTCTTATTTCAGGTAAGAGATGAATTGTTCAGATAATCGGGGAACACAGATAAATGCGTTTGTCCCCAAGGAGGGATTGCCTGCCCCATGCCTCACTCGGTCAGACTTCTGCTGGTTTATCAGGAAGCTGGGTCCTGGCGGCATCCCACACGGCTCTCTTCCCCTGGCCTTACTCCCTCTCACCACCAGCCTGTCTCCTCTGTCCTCACACCTCCTTCCTGCCCGCCCCGACCCACCTGCAGAGCAGGCCGGGAGGAGTCAAGGGGAGAATGAACACCACCCGCTCTGTCCCGCCAGCAATGGCACCTGAGATGCACCTGTACAGCTGCCATGTGCCAGCCCCCCACCCCCTGCAGCCCACACATCCCTGCAAACGCAGACCACCACACAGTGTTGGGGATAGCAGATGAAGGAAGGAAGGAAAGGCCAGGGAAGGTAATAATTAACCACTTACTGAGTTCAAAGCCATCCTGATTTTATCAACAGCATCAAGTAATGGGAGGTATTTGGAATGTTCAAGATGACCTAGAAAAAAGAGTTACAAAACTATATATAATATTTCCATACCAGTTAGTGTTTGGGAGATAAACCTGGAAAGAACTAGAAACCTTCTAGGTGAAGGTTACCTCCCACCAGAACAAACAACAGTGCTGCCTACTGACCTTGGCCCGACCTTCCACCCCGATTCTCCACATCCCTCTGCACGTAAAGATCCCAGGGCTCGCTGGCACGTTGGGGGTTACAGTGAGCAGGTGGGTGGGGGGGGCGTGCAATTGGAAGTACTGTGGCCAGGGATGCCGGACCCAGAAGAAGGGACAGGCTCAAAGACCCAGATGCCCATTGGAGTAGCATCCAGGGGCGTGCCCAGGGCTCCACTGCCACTGAGCCCAGGGGTCCTACAGCAGTGACCTCGGCTCTCAGCAGGGGGCTGTGAGTTCCCCCTTACGGTGCACCTGCCAACTGCCGGGCGGCCTCTAAACCCGTCAGGTTCACGAGGCTAAGGACGGCCCAGGAGGCAAAGACCTGGGGCCGACTCCTGGCAGAACCGCCTCTTGGAGGTGTCACTGGGCGAGTACCTGAACCTCGCTGACCCTCAGGTTCCTTATCTGAAAGACGGACGGAGCGTTGGCACTGCTGTGTTACGTGAAGGGCGCTCCCGTGCCGGGCACCGAGGAACGCAGGTGCGAGCAGACTCGCCCTCCCGCGGGCGGCCGGAGGCACCTGTGCACAGCCACCCTCCGCCCCGCACCACAGACAGCTCACATTTGACTCTTCTAAGGAAGCCCTATGGAACCTCCGGATTTTCAAAGATACAGGTGTATAAACAAAATGCCATAAAACACATCCACACCCACGCAGGTTACTGCCCCAGATCCAGAAGACAAAATTCAGAGCTCACCATTTGGACTGTTTCTAAAATAGGCAGTAATGAGAAGGAAACCCTGGGCCATTTTGCTTGTAGCCATTTATGAAGAGTTAACAATAATACCTAGAGATACCATCCCCATGGCATGCTTTATGGCAAAGCCCTTGTTCCAATCACATCATTCTCCACTGACAAGATTCTTCACTTGGCCAAACTTTGTCGGGCTCCTGAGCCGCCCAGGCCATCTGTGCCCTTCCTGGTAAGAGGCACTTTTAGCAAAGAACCCTGCCAGGTCAGTTTATCAAGAACCTCCACGCTCGATCCCTCGATATCTGCACACTCTCCATACCTGAGCAGGTTCCTCGCCCTCCACCCCCCACCCCCAGGTGACATGTGACCACCTTGCCGTCTCAGCAAGATCTCGTTAGGTCAGTTTGGCCAGAATGCCCCTCACCCTTGATGTCTTCTCTTAGTGACTATTCCACCCTGGTCCTTAGTTATGAATTAACCCCCACTTGCCCATGCTGTGTTCAGAGTTGAGCCCAGTCTCTCTCCCCCACCGCAAAACCCCATTGCCTCGGTGCCTCCACCTACCCTGATGGTCCTGCTACCAAGTCCGCCTTACCACCTCTAACAAGTAGCACTGAAGGACTTTTTCTTCCATACCCTCTCATGGGTAAATGAAGGGCTCTTCCCTGCTTCTCTACCCTTGGCTTGAAACAACCAAAGAATATTTTAAGAAATAATCTTCAAGACCATCTGTTGACAAGACCATGCTCCCTGGAGAAGGCCCTCGTCTTTGGAGCCAGCCAGATCAGGGTCTGAGTATTTTTCGTCTCTAAGAGGCAGCACGCAGTGGGCACTCAGACAGCAGCAGGTAGCACAGCACGGTCTTCTGCGAGCAGGCTCAGTCCCTCACTAGCTGTGGCCTGGAGCAGGTTAATAACGTTCTGTGGCTCAGTGTCCTCGTTTGCAAATGCAGATAATAGTAGCACTGACCATGGGGTTGTCAGGCACTGTTAAATGAGTCAGTACTAATCAAGTGCTCAGTGCCTAGCATACAATGAGTGCTACATACATTTTCATTAAATAAAAGTAATTATAAAGCTGATAAATGTTTAACAGCCTGCTGAAGGATAAGAGATTCATGCCTCGTAAGGACTCCCAGGCTATGACATGAAGCCCACCAGCTCTTCAAGTTCAGTGGAGCCCAGTGTGGTGGCACCAGCCCCAGCCCACCACTGCTTCCCCGTCTCCCAAGCAAAATTAGTATCGGAACCATCAAACCGAAAACACCCCGACAGCCTGCTGTGAATCAACATGAGTACTGCTTTTTAATCTCAGGAAACCTCACTAAACAGATCGCAATAAAAATTCACCGGATCATTTATTTGCTTTTCACATACAGATAAAATATAAGAACCAGGTCATGTTGATAGCTTTGAGTTGTTTTAAGATTAAAAATACAGTCCACACCCTTCTGGGTATGAGGAAAGAAAACTGACTAACGTCCAGGTGGGAAAGATCACCACTTAAAACATATTTGTGACATGCAAGCCTTCTGCGTGGGTGTGACTATCACGTATTCACATCCCTTTCTGGAGTCCAGGCTGCAAGCAGAGGACCCTAACCAAGCCTTGACATCAGCACAGTAAATCCTGCTCTCTTGTCTGCAAGCAGGAAAGGGCTGGGCACGGTCCTGGATTGCTCCCCAAAGAGCTCTGCCCAGCCAAACTCATTCTCACCCCTCTGGTTTCTCAGCTCTGCTATCTGACCAGTGGTAGCTTCGGTTGAAGTTTCAGGAAATGAGAATCCGATCCCACTGGCGGCTTTCCCAGTTCAGGAGCCCTCTGAAAGGAGCGATGAATCAACGCTCAAATCCACGCTTGCTATTCATTCTCGGTCCCTCACAATGAGAGACGGGGGAAGCCAGGGAAGGGAGGAACTCGGGGAGCCGAGACCCTGAACTGTCCAATAACAGCCACAGGACCCAGGGGCACTCACAGAACCGCCCTATCTCACACCGCACGCACAGCCTCAGAGCCGCGAGCATTGAGTGTGCCCCGGCCAGCTACCACGGACTTTGGAATGGAAGACGAGAGTCGTGCTGCCTGTAATTTTCTCCAGCAGAGAAGAAGAGAAGGGGGCAATGTCCCCCTCTGGCATCGGATCTGAAAGGAGAGCAGTCCCTGTCCCCAAAGCGCCAGGAAATCACATTCGGCCCCACTCATTTTCAAACCAGGCATTCCCACGCCCACACGAGATTGTGAACCTCATTAACTGGCTTCAGAAAGGAGCAAGATATAACCTAGATGACAAGAGGCAACACTGCTTAGTGCATGCTCTTTCCAGTCATTTAAAGGACAGAGGTGGCTGTTCTCCACAATGAAGCACTCTGGGAAATCTTCCTTTCGGTGACAAAAGAGCAAAAGTGGGTGAAGCTCCGAATCTCTTCCCAGGACAGGGACAGTATCACCCACCGGCATCTTGCCGCAGCGCCCAGCTGCCCTCCAGCTACCTTGCCCATTCTGGGCTGTGCTGTCAGAGGGGCAAGCCAACCCGAGTCACCTGCCGGGCCACCGTGCACAGGATGAGGCTGTGAGACCCTATGTGCATCCCATGACATGATGAGTTGTTTCCAAAACAAGAGCCAAAGTTTCTCCCAGTTTCTTTCCTCTGGAGATCTCAGAACACATTTGCTGGACGCTTATGTTGAACACCACCAAACCGATATGAACCGAGTCAGGCCATGGCCGCCGGTCTCCATCCAGGACTCAGAGGTATGCCCTGTAATTAGGGCTCTGCCGACATCACCACGTACACCACACAGGCACTCGCTCCTTCTGGAGGGGCCCACTGTGTGCCGGGCACTGCTCCAGTTTCGGAAGCTGTAAGGGTGAGCAGGCAGGCCAGGCCCCACCTTCCCAAGGCTCTGTGTCCCTTCTTCAAACTCCAAAGCAGCACGGCCACCATCCAGGGACACTTCCCTTCCGGTGGCCCAGAGATGGAAAAGAACCCCTTGTGCCCAAACCACCGCACCGAAGTCACACTGCACAAGAAAATGTTCTGTCCTTCCGGGGATATAACGCACTGTTCAATGAAAGTTAAATGACAGCGGTGGGTTTCAGTAACAGTTCAACAGAAACAAGCACACGGCAGCCCAATGGCACACACAGTGACTGACACAGGGATCTACAGACAGGAAGGGAGAGAAACAGAGAGATGACCTCAGGAGAGGTACTGCCTGCATCATCCAAGTTTCTTTTTCTATGAATGACTCATTGTCCCAAAGAGATTACAAACTTTTTAGGGCAGGAATCAGGTCTGGTCCTCTTTTTCTTTCTTTTTTTTTAGGTCTACCTTTGTACTATACAAAGAAAGTGTTCAAATATTTTTTGAGTTCCAAAGGCCAAATGAGTAAGATGAAATTTAACAGAGAGAGACGGGAAGCCCGTACCTGGCTACGTCAGGGCAGTGGGTGACCTTGAGAGGGTCCAGGTGCACAAAGCTGAGAGTACCCCTAAAATGACGGACAGGCAGCAGAAAGGTGCCCGGGCCACCACTCCTTGAAACTACGTCAGGGCAGTGGGTGACCTTGAGGGGGTCCAGGTGCACAAAGCTGAGAGCACCCCTAAAATGACGGACAGGCAGCAGAAAGGTGCCCGGGCCACCACTCCTTGAAACTACACAGAGCCTCCTGGCTGAGGTTTAAGGAACTTGCCCAAGTCAATCTGTAAAATGGGGCTAATTGTAAGGATAGCCCCTAACAATGGGGCTATTGTACTTTCTCACTTAAGTGAGAAAGTAGTTTTCTAGCTCGGGCTCAGTGCATGCTGAGCTCTCAGTGTAATGAGAGCAGATAAGGTTTGTCTTCCAATATCCAAGGACTGCTGTGTGGACAAGGAATCCAATTTATCCTATGTAAATCCAAGGCAGGACACCAGGATGAATGATGGGAATTACCAGAACGGCAGGCTTCGACTCCACTTGGGGAAACCGTGTATCCAAAAATTAGAAAGTTCAAACGTGAGCAGGGGCTACCTTGGAAAGTGCTGAATTCATTAAACCGAAAAGCATGTGTTTGGTTGGAGACTAGAAGGTCACTTCTCCAGCACAGTCTAGGGCAGAATTGGGCTTTAGCTCGGAGGCCAGACCTGAT